ATCTTAACAGCCATTGGATGCAGCAGCCCCAGGGAAGGCCCTAAACCTTGGTGAGGCAACTCCCTTTTGTCCAAGGCAACTCTGGGAGGGAAGATGATCTGTGAGCCATCAGGAACCAGTGCTCCTTCTCCTAGCCACTGCAGAATGAGTACCTCCATGCTGGGAGGTGAGAGGATCTGGGCTCCTCCTGCTCTAACCAGCAAACTGAGGCACAGAGAAATTAGGTAATCACTTAAGATCACACAGTAAAGCAAGCAGAGAGCCAGAGCTCTGGTTCCAAAGGTTAGGCCGTCAATCACTGATCTCTCTACTGTGTGTAAAGAACCCACCAAAATGCTGTCTATCAAGGCTGCTCAATAAATTACAGCTACTTTATTTGGGAGTTGGTGGTAACTTGTTGTGATGCTATCAGCTCTTATCCCTTCAGCTATCTGAGAGCTAAAACAGTCGACTGAAGCCTCTTTGTTGGCAATACCAGTCAAGTAGGTTTTTGACTGTCAAATTTAACAGTTCCACAGATTAATAGGTTAACTTAATGGTAGACATCAAGGGTTTTCCCCAAGTACCGAAGAGGGTGCTATAATATAAATGGATCCTCATCTTTTCACTGTTCACAGCTGCCTTGGAGTTTAAATGAAAAAGGGTTGCCTCAGGACTTCAGGACTTCTCTTCCCCTAGCTCTGAGTCATCATTCCTGAGGACCTGCATGATATCTCATTGTCATTCTGAGAGCTTGAGAGTGATAGGACTGGCTACATCTTTGACAGCTTTACAGAGAGGGGAGAGAAAGAGCCTGCCTCTGTTCATGAAGGGGGGTAGGTAGGGGAAATAGGGACTGGGGGACCAACCCAGAATTTCCCCTGGAGATCCCAGTTATATGGCACCACCACTAACAATGTTTCAGAAGGAAGTTTGTTTTTAAAAGGTGAAACTTCAGCAAACCCAGTGAACCTGCAGGCCAAGTTGTAGCTAAACATCCCCCAGCCCTTACTAGCTGCTGTTCCCTGGAGCCAATGACTGTCCTTAGGTGGAAATGGGTGGATGAAGGGGAGGAAGACACGGTGTTTATAGAGGTCTCAGGCACTGCATAACTTGAGCCAACACAAGGGGATTGAGGATATCCACAGTTTAGTCTCGTGGGCTTTCCCCACCAAGTAGGACTTGTTATTCTCTGCTTAGACCTGCAAACTGTACCTATCAACTGCCCAGTACTGAGGGAGTCAAGCTTGCAGCCATAGCAAGGAGAACAGTGGCTTAAGAGTGGTCCTCTTCTAGCTGGAGTGATGGAGCAGGCAGAGTGGGGAGTGAGACACATGAGCTATGTTGGGTGGTAGGTGACACTTATTCAGATCCATCATCCACCAGCCTTGGTGCTGAGTGAGGAGACGGATGTTCCACTAAGTCACCCTCCACACTGCTCCATCTCTATCAAAGAGAAGGTGACTCGAAGCTCACTACCCCTCCCACCTTCTCTCTTCACCTGCTTATTTTACTCCATGCTGCCATTTTGTCTGCTGTCCACCTGTCAGGTCATTGATCTCCATGCTGTGGTTAGGCACTATTTTCATTTTTGTTTGGCAGATGTGGAAATGAAAGACACAAGTATCTAGCCCGGGTCATAGAGACAGTAAGTGGTGGACCCAAGATATCATCCCAGAAAGCCAACCCCAGAACTCAGAATCTCTGGGCTACATGACCTCCCATCAAGTAATCTGTTGCCTCTTCCCTAGGGTCAGTTTACTACTCATCAGCAAAGACTGTCAGCTCCATATTCCTTCCTTTATGCTTCTCAGTCTGTGGTATTCTGCTACTGCCACCAACCTTATAGGAACTCCCATCTGTCTCCCCTTTGGGTACTCTGGGATAGTTTCAGGGGGAAATAAGGCAATGTTCAGAATGCTGACTTGTTCTAAAATAGGTTTTACTCTTCCAAAGGGGCATAACTAGTACATAGCCAATTAGAAATTAAAGCTAAGAGTCAGGTGTCATGGTATACACTTGTAATCTCAGCACTTGGGAGGTTGAGGAAGGAAGATAACTTCCAGGCCAGCCTGAGCTACATAACAAGACCATTCCCCCAAAAAGAGAAATCTGTCTAAGAGGTAGGATAGAAACTTCCTGAAAAGCTAGGTTAGATACTAACTTTACCAAGCAGATGTAAAATTTATACAGGTGGAGAAAGGTATGAGACCTCTAAAACTTGATCAATCAATTAATAATTAGCTAAAGCAAATCAGCAGAAAAATGTAGACACTGATGAGTCCCTGAAATCTCAATGTCTAGAAATTTTGAGGCCCAACATTTTCCCTTAAGTTACCTATTTGAAATCTATCCTGAAATTGATTCTCTGAAATACATTTAATTCATCTTTTCCAGGTGGGAAACATTTCATGAAGTCATACTTTCAAGAGCAAAGAAGGGAAATCACCAGGGGTAAATCTCTTTCTTGTCATGTACCAGGACCAGAACTCAGAAAAGATACCACTCAGGAATGCAGAAAGCTGAGGTCAAACCAAATCAAGAGAACACATGACCAGGATTTTATGAAGTGAATACCCTGTGCCTACAGTGTGGCAAACACAATGTGGAACTGTAAACTCTTAAAGTTGGCAAGAACTTAGGTGGTAAAATTCCTGGATTTGAGCCAGTTAGAGTTTGATTGGAAGGTTAAGACCCACATGAGGGAAAGGGATTAGAAAACAATTCTATATATAAATAAGCAGAGATTGAGAGGTGCTGTAAAAAATGAGAGAAAAGAAGAAACTTGAGCTGGAGTTGGTCAGCAAAGATTTAGGAAGACTGTGGGATTTTAGGTGGTCTACAAAGGAAGCAATTTGTGGAAGAGAGGCAACTAGGCCTTGCTTTTGAGGATATAGGCAGGAAGAGAGAGGTGAGGATAGGAAGTCTATGAACTAATACTGGTGAGACAAAGCCTTTCTTCAGGAGACCAGCCTTCCTGGGAAGAAGGAGATCTGATGGGTAGGTCAGCAGGTGAGCTACTAAATCAGGAGTCTGGAACTGATTTCACAAAGCAGGAGGGAGCCACTGAAGTTTCTTGAGCAGCAAAGCATAATTTAAAAAGGAGTCATATTTATCTAAATAAGTAAAAAGTAGAGCTTTGGGAAGATTAATCTGGAATCTGAGTGGTGGATGGATGCAATGGATAGGGAAAAGACAGTAAAGAGCTAATGTGGTCATCCAGATGCAAATTATTAAGAGACTGGAATGGGAGAGGCAAAAAGATTAGGGAAGAGGGATGGATCCGGCAAAAGGAAAAATTAATGGACTTTGGCAGCTGATCAGTCAGGGAGGAAAAAAATAGGATTAACACTAGAATATGATTGTGTCATTGACAAGATAAGTGTCCCATTCTTGGAAAATGAAGGGTTGGACTATAAGTAAGATGGAGTTAAGAAGTCAGAGAGCTAATTTATGGGAGTAGGTGATTAAGTACATTTTTTAACCACACTTTTGTGAAGTAGAAGAACCATACTAGAATTTGGATTTGATTAGAACATCAATCCATCCCAGCCCTCCTCTCTTTAGTTGACCTCCCCTTTTTTGGGATAGGGTGGCTGTACTGGGGTTTGAACTCAGGGCCTCACGTTTGCTAGGAAGGCACTCTACCACTTGAGTCACTCCACTAGTTGACCCCTTTTCATATAATGCCAATGAAGACACAAACTTCATATATATATATAAATATATATATATATATATATTTATATATATAAAAAGATAGCCTCATAATTCAATTGGTTTTTGTTTCTTTTTTTTTTTTCATAAAATTCTAGAACTGAAGCAAACAGTCACCTTGGTGTTTCCAACACACAGGAGCTATATTCAGAGCTTAAAATTTTCAGGCTGAAATCAAGAAAATGATCAGTGGGGAGGAAAGAGTAACTCCAAGCCTCTTTAATCTGAACTCTCTCCATTTCTACCTCCCAAGCTTTCAGTACCTCTTTTTCTGACCATGCATAACTCTACCTGCCAAATGAGAATTGTAATTCCAAATGATTGGAATATTCTGTCCAGTTTTTGAAATCAAATGTTTATATGGTACCCTATATTTTTAGTCAAAAACCTCAAACCTTAATTCTCTTCTCCCATGGATGCTTCATTCTTAGCTTTTAACTTTAAAGATTTTTTTTCACATATTTCCAAAATACTTCTACAAAATCTATTTTTGTTCCATTCATTCACACTTCATTCATGAATGTGTGGTCAGCCAGGTTAGGAAGACAAGAAAGGATTAAGGCCTAAGATAGGTTTTTAAATAGTTGAAACTACTTCTTTGGTTGGGTGATTTGTTCTTTCAGATGGAGCTTGCACCTATAAAAAATTGAAGTGGGAGCTGAACATGGCAAAATGTGTTTGCTTTTCTTAGATAAATCTGTTAGTCTCTGTGTGCTGTAAAATGGCATTATTCCTCCATTGGAAATCACACTTCCTACACAACATACGCCTCTCTGCCTTCTCTTCACAGACTTTCCCTTGCAAGGTTCAAAATCCCTTCTGGATTTGTAGTCAATCCCATAGTGAAACCATTACTTTGTTCCCTCGGTTCAGCTTCAAGATGAGATTCTTTTCAAAAGAGCATTTGACAATTAGTACTGGAAGGTTGCTCAGTGGTAGAGTCCTTGCCTAGCACATGCAAGTCAATGAGTTCAATACCCTAAGTAGCCTTGAAAACAAACAATCCTCCCAAAAAAATACTACCGAGCAATCAATCAACAAACCAACTAACAAACAATAACAACAACAACAACAATAAAAAAAAAAAACAGAGGAAAAGATTAGCCCAGTAGCTACAGAGAGCTTCCAAACTGTGTTTCTCAGAGAAAATAGTTTAGTAATAGAGAAAGCCAAAACCCACCAACAATGAAGAAGGAAGACATATAATGGAATTCTGTGTTTGGTAAAATCTGAAAATGATTTGTGAAGAACCACTGATATTATAGGTAAATAAATTGCTCCCCATTATGGCCATATAGACTTACCAGATTAATGAGTGTCAAGTATTTCGTCTGTCCAACACCTTGAAAGATTTTTAATTTCCTCTCTTCCTTTCCATGTTGTGGGATGTAATAATTGAGGAAAATATACCAGTTCAAGACAAGAAAGTGATATATGCACGTTGATATCTTCATCGTGTCTACCTCTGAACAGGACACTGTGAATATGTGGAGTTCCTTCCTTCTGGTGTCCTGTGAATCACAGATGTCCTTTACAGGCTGGAGATTCATAAAAACATGTCCTTCTGGGATTAAGAGTTCCAACACAGGCTGTATTTTGTTTCTCGTTTAGACTCTTTTTCTGATAAACCTGGGAGAAAGGATTACTGCTGTTTTTCGGATACCTGCGTTTAGATAATGGTAGATAATTTGCAGTTTTGCACACGTTTCAACATTAGACTTTGAGGAGGGAAAGACGTGAGAGCTGCACTTTGTCCTGGGGCAGCAGGTAAAATGACCTTATTATGCAATACCAATACCAACAGTATCTTAAAAAAATCATTACAGTCCTGTTCTCTTTTCTTTCAGGCAGAACAGGAAATTGCAACGGTATCTCTTGAAAGAATGATAAGCCAGGAGGTGGAGACTTGGTTGTGTTTAGGGCATGAGAAAGGTAAGAAGAAAGGAAAAGAGTTGTAATTTTGCTCCTGGGATTTCTGAGGCCCTATAAAGTTTGAAACAACCTTTGATCTTCCAGGGAACAATACCAATCTCTCCCCCGCCACACACACAGACACCTGTTCTCTCTTTCTCTCTCTCTCTTTTTTTTTCTCTCTCTCCCTTTACACTAGAAAACTAAAAGTTCCCAAATACTATATTTGCATAGGCATTTCTGTACCCAGAGAGGAAGCATAGGAAACATCTGTGGTCATGTCCCTAACATACCTGAATGAGTGTAGACATTGTTGGGAGGCAGTCAGGGTCTCTGCACTGCCATGGAGGGGACAAGACATGATCAGGCTGGGCAGAGTGCAGGGTTGGGCCCTGCCTTAGCCTCAGCAGGTGACTGAGGGATAACTGGAAATGTGATGTCTTGTGACATCACCAGCTTGTTTCCCTGGGCAACTGACTTAGAGGGTTGAGCAAATTCCTTAGAGAATAGCTTCCAACATGGTTTTGTAAGGCTGCAGTTGGTGTTACTGCTAACTTCACCAAGGCTTGGGAGAACTGGAAGAAAGACTTGCAGGAACAACGTGGAGGGCAAAACAAAAGCAAAAACAAACGCAGTCCAGAAATGGATTCCAAACATCAGGAACTATAGATAGGAGGAGAGCAGACAAAAGCCAACAACTGAAAATCTGCAAGGTAACCATATCTTATAGTGTCAGGGCTGCTATAACTAAACTAAGAGGTTTATATATAAACAACAAATGTATTCATTCCTTGCAGTTCTAGAGGTTGGAAGTCTAAGTGCTGGCAGACTCATTTTAGATTCATAGGTGCCTTCTCACTGTGTCTTCCCATGAGGACATGGGCAAACGAGCTCTCTTCAGCCTCTTTAATGAAGGCTCTGTCTTCATGCGCTAATCACCACCCCAAAGCCCCATTCCTTAATCCCATCACCTTGGGAGTTAAGATTTCAATATATGAATTTTGGGAAGGCACAAAAATTTGGCCATAGAAAATCATTCCCAAAGGAGAGAGTAATCTAAAACATAAGTGACATTGTAATCTTATATAAAACTTCATAGTCCAGGCTAAAATTGCAAATAATAGTGGCAACTAATATATTTACAGTTGTTACTACTGGCCAGGAATCCTTCCAAGTGCTGTACATTTTACATATGTTAATTCTTTTAATACTTTATGACCACTATGAGATTAGTGCTAAAAAAATGTGTTTAACAGATGATGAGGGGGCAGAGGCTCAGGCCACCCTTGTAATGAGTGTATCTATCTGACACAAAAAAATAATGTTTGCTCTGTACACCTTCTAGCTCATTTTTCAGTATTCCCTCTCTGTGCTGAATTCCTTTTATTCCTTTATCTTCCAATCACAAAATTCTCTCAGAAAAGGATAAGAAATGCTTTAAAACTTGGTGCATATATGAGTTATTATGCTAGGTCTCCAGGGTATAAATCATCACAGTTTTATAGATTTTTATTTTATACAAATACTCTAAGCCTAGGCTTAGAGTGGGTAAAGACTGAGTCAAACATGGGAAAGGAGGGCTTGATAAAGATCCCAATCTCTGTATGTGTGTGTCCAAACCTGGAGAGTGGCCTTTCACTACCTAGACTCTTTTCCTTGCCATTTGCCTCCAATGTCCACAGATGAGACTTCTCATAAACATTGATATGATTATTTCAGTGTATTTGTAGGACATTTAATGTTTGACACTAGACTACAATTAATTGTCAGTATTTTAATAGTCACTTAATTGTATATAAAAACTATGAAATTTCTAAATTCAATATCTGCATTTTTTATAAAACTTTACATAAAAGTGTTTCCAAAAGGAACTTCTACATTGTGACCATATTCACATCATAATCTGTAGCTCAGTTGAATAACCAGATGCATCAGTCTAGCCATCTGTCTCCCACCATGAGACCAGGCAGAGATTTGAGAAACAATGAGTGTCACCACACAATATGATGAACTAATACATATGAAGTCTGTTCTTTGCCTGCCTTTCTCTTTTCAAGAATCTGGTACTGGGCCTGAAGGCTCAGGCCCATCATCATACCTGTGTGGAAGGCTGTGATTGGGAGGACTGAGGTTCCAGTCCAGCCTAGGCAAAAAAAGCTCCTGAGACCCCATTCAATGGAAAAAGCTGAGCATGGTGGCACCTGTCATTGAAGTTATGCCAGGAAGCTTCAAAAAGGAGAATTGTGGGTCCAAGCAGCCCATCAAAAAGCAAACTCCTATCTCAAAAATAGCTGGAGCAAAAAGAAATGGAGTTACAGATCAAGTGGTAGTGTACCTGACTCACAAGCATGAACCACTGAGTTTAAACCCACAGTACTGCCAAAAGGAAAAAAAAAAAAACCAAGAATTTGGAAGCTTCATGTCATATTGAGAGGAAATGGGAAAGGATTGCTCACTGACTTAAAAATTTTAAAAATAACTGGCATAAATTTAATTATTTACACAGGAAATATAAAAAATAATATAAGCCTAAGCATATTTTTACCTTGAACATTACACAGATGATTTGATTAGCAAAAGTGGCATTACTTGCATTTGCCTACTCTCTGGAAACTGGAACACCATTTTTTATTTCCCAGATACTTATTGAGCAACTACTGTTTGCCAGGCACTTTATTAGGGCATAGGGATTTTCTGAGAAATAATAGAGATCTGATCCCTGACTTCATGGGTTTATATTGTAGAAGGGGAGACAGACACTAAGTAACATCAAAATCAGAGGTTAACTTGTAATTATGGATACTTCCATGCAAGACTAGCACAGCAAACATACGAGGAAGGACAGCAGTATCAGAGGTGGGGTAGTTGGAAAGTGAGGAGGCTGTCGTTCAGGGTGCCCCTTGTGAGCACTGCTGGTTCTCCATACACTCCTGACATGCTCTGACTAGTCTTCTTCTTCTTCAGTGAGCTCCTCTTTCTTTGCCAGCTCTTTAAGCATTGGTGTTTCCCAGGGAGCTGGTCCAGCTTAATCCCATCTCATACACGGTAGTGTTTTCTACCACCCATCTTTACTTCCTCAAATTTTAACCCCTAGATCAGGCTCTTTCCCCATACCCACCAACCTTCAAACATGTCTCCAACTGCCTGTTGCTGGGCATCCCCTGAATGAGTCATACCTCAAACTCAACATTTCTAAAATGAGTTCATTACCTTCCCCGAAATCTGGCCTACCATTCTATTCCCTGACTTAATGGTGGTTCCACCAGCTACCTGACATGTAGTCTTGTCTACTTTCTCTTCTTTACAGCCTAAGTCCCATTAACCACCAAATTCTGTCACTTCATCTCCCAAATCAGGCTCATATCAGTCCTATTCTTTCCAACCCTTCCATAACTGCCCCAGTTCAAGTCTTCTTCATCTTTTGCTGGTACCATAGCATCTGTCTCCTAGTTGGTTCCCCAATTCTAGTTTCATCCCTAATTTCTGTTCTTCGCAAGTTCATGGTATAATACTTCCTGAAATACCATATTCAATCCTTGGTTTAGGTCCCTTTACTACATCAGTGTCAACTACAGCATAGCGTCTCAGTTTCTAACTTCAATAAACTGCTCACTCCCATCTGGTTTTGCTACTATCCCCAGCCTCATTTTTTCCTCAGACATGAGGTTCCTCTAATAACACCAAACAGAGCTTCCCAGCTACATCTGGCCAGGTCTCAGCCAGTGTCTTTACTCCTTCTGTCACCCTTGCCCACCCCCACGGCCATCAGCAGCACAGTTATTTTCTTCCCCAGAAACTCTTCCCCAAGCCCCTCTTCAACAAAATCACGTTACATGGTCCCTCTGTGTTCATTAACACCTTATGCATCTCTGCAAATTGCATGATGAGGAATTCAACTTTTAAAATATGCCATTATCTCCTCAGGTTCAGAGATGTTTTACTTGAATTCCTAGAGCTTAGCAGAGTGCTAAGCACGTAGTAAGTACTTCATAATTCAACAGTAAGTACTGTTGAATAAGAAAATAAACAATCCAATTGAAAAATGTGCAAAAGACTTGAATAGACACTTCTCAGAAGACATACAAATTGCCAACAGATATTTGAAAAGATGTCTCACATTACTAATCATTAAGGAAATGCAAATTGAAACCATAATGAGATATAGCCTCACACCTATCAGAATGGCTATTATCAAAATGATAAAACAAATGTTGGTGAGAATCTGTAGAAAAGGGAACGCTGGTACCCTGTTGGTGGGAATGTAACATAACACAGCTATTATGAAAAAATACTATGGAATTTCCTTTAAAAAATGACAATGGAACTATCATATGATACAGCAATCCCAGCACTGGATCTACATCTAAAAGAAATGAAATCAATATGTCAAAGAGATATCCGCACTCTCATGTTTATTGCAGCACTAATTCACAATAACCATGATATGGAGTCAGCTTAAGTGTCCATTAATGAATGAACTGATTAAGAAAACATGGTATGTACTATCTACACAGTGTGTTCATATTTAGCCTTTAAATAGGAA